TATCAGAACTGCTTAGCATTAGATTACCTACTGGTTGAGGAAATAGAAATATGTGGAGAGTTCAACAGCTCAGATTGTTGCATCCAAATGGATGACAATAAACAAATGGTTAAGAATATAGCCAACAACACAAGAGAACCAGCACATGTGCTAGTTCATACCTAGAAGGGCATTAAAGTTTGGGTCCCAAATAGGCTTTGAGAAGATGGTTTTCAACTCTTGGTAGATTTAAAAGCTTAACTGGTGTAGTGGGTATTCTGCTGTTAATCTGTTCATTGCTCCCATGTTTGGCTCCACAGTGGATTAAACTATTGGGCCCACTATAGAAGCTGCTGTTGAAAGGAAGACAACAACTAAGATTTTGGCATTATATAAGGCTTTAAGCCAAGATAATGGTAGTGATGCTCTTAAATTAAAGGACTAAATTATGGGGAGCATTATTAAAGGGGAGAATTGAAGTGGTAACCCCTTTCTACACAGAAAAGCCTGCTTCACCATGGCTGATTTTAGTACTGTCAGCAAAAGAGTCTCTACAAAATGTTGTGAATTTTAGCCCCAGTCTCCTCCTGACCAGTGGGAGAAGCATGCCCCAACCAAGATGAACCAAGAGAGGTAAAGGTTGACTGGCTGCCCACACCCAGCCCTCCCTCCTGGGAGGACAATCTGACATGCCAGGGAGAACAATCAAAGCAGGATCTCATTTAATGAGGAAGTACACACAGCTAATATATTGCACAGGAGCCAATCAGAATAAAGGTCAGAGGGGTGAAGCAAATTCACATGTACACCCATCTCATAGTCTATAAGGGAAGGCACAAGCTGTCCACGAGGGCGGAAGAGTCCTGGACTTATCCTGAGGTGGTCTGCCTCCTCCGTCACCACCAATAGCACCGCCTCCTGGCTGATCCCCAGGAGCTGTCCCAGTCACATGTGCAGCCTCAAGACCAGGAAGCAGGCAGCCATACCCTACATCTCCCCCTTTTTGTTTTATTAGCAGGTGTTTGCCTTACTCGAGAGAGTGCCTGTCTTAGGTTGTCCCCCTCTGGGGATCTTACCCGTCATTGACTACCACTCTAGCTCTTCGGGCAATCCTACCTGCAGGGCCTGCAGGCCCAATGGGAAACCTCAAGGAAGGGAGATGGCTCTGCTCCCGGCTTACATCTGCACATCCCAGTAGGGGCCGTGGCCAACCTCATAGGGTTCACAGTCAGTATCTTGTAAGATGGCATATTGCTACCCGACCACCATCAGTTGAACAGTTCTGGCTCGATCCTTGAGAAACTGGAGGAGCCCAATAGAAACAGCACTCCTCCTGTAGGAACAGACCTAGTCCTCCTTCTCGGGCGGTAAGCAGGTTTGAAGGACTACCACAGCCAAGGAATTGAGTTGAGATTGGAAGTAGTGCTGACAACATGGTGCACTGTGGCCAACAAGTCCAGTTCCCATCCCCGTGGCCACAACAAAAGGGAGACAACGAGGAGTCCGGCCACAACCAGGCAAAGTGTCCAGAATGGTCCTTCATTCTTACAATTAAAGAATCATATCTCAACACAAAACCCCACATACCCCACCGACAACAGGTCCAGCCATAGAACATCAAATGATACAAACAAATCTCCAACCTGTTTTTCTTTTACACCTAAAATTACCATACAACTTTAGAACACAAGATTGATACATTGATGTTTTTATATTAACTAAATTTAGCTTTTAAAGAATTAACATAGCACAATTCTCTAAAATAACAGTTCTTGTTTAACCAGCTGTTTAATTTCTTTAAGATTACTTGCTCTAGAAACAGGAAACAAAACTTAATAAAACACAATGTTATGGGTAAACTAATGTTTTAAGGAATCTTTGTCCTTTTAACATATGACTGATAAGCTTAATTTTAAAGACATCTTTACTTTCATCTGTTTACCCAATTCAAATTGAACCCTTTAAATCACGCAAATAAAAGATATCTGGATCCATTTTTTAAAAATTTTCATGAGCGCTCCTCATATATCTGCCAATCTTCATACCATGTGCATGACGTATGGATATATGCACATACAGACATACAACACATAACACAAGTGTGCACACTTAACACAAGGCCTTGTAGCTTTTCTCAAGTGAAATCTCCATTGCAATGTTTAAAAACTCCAGTTTTTAATAGAATTGATCAGAAAAACATTAACTTAGGTCTGTAAGAACAAAATCATGAGCTCAAAAAATACAGAATCTAAGAAAAAGCAAGGGTCCTAGAAAAAATGATTGGTCAGTAATTAGTAAATATCATACAATTTTCTTTTTGGTTTAGTCTAGTTTGAGTTCAGGTAAAAGACACATTTCCACCCTCCTTTTTTTTTTTTTTTTTTCATCCCCAGATCAGTCTCCTACTGAGCTCACAGCCTTCTTCCATTTGCATTTCAACTTAAATCCTGGCTGAGGTGTGGAAGGAGCAGAGAAAACTACTATTCTGAACAGAAGCCTCATGCCCAAGGCATTTTAACCTTAAGTCATAATTCCCAGGTTTGGATGTTGAAAATTATGATACAAGTTTAAGATACAATTCATAAAATTGCATATCTTTACATCTTGTTTTGCCAAAGGGAAAAAAAAAACTCCTACACTAGAAAAAACTTGCTCACATAAAACTGAAAATAGGATCTTACTTGATAATATAAAAGCTACTATCTAAGAAATCCCTTCAGGATCATTAAGCCATTCCTTTGTTCTGAAGTTCCTAAAGTAGTATTAACTTACATCACCTGAAAAATTCCAAAAGAGAACCACACACTACCATGTATATCCAAAATTAAACTTTAAAAATTTCCAAGACTGTTGTTATTCAATGTCATTTCAATAAGCCAGACCAATATCCCAATCCAACACTTTCCTTTCCTAAATCCTACACACTGAGGGGAAAAGATTACTATACTTGCCCAAATTAATAATGCACTGGTACACCTAATGAAATCTTCCCAGGCTACCTAATTCAAAAATTGATGAAAAAACCTGAATGATTGGGAGTTACCCGCCAACTTGGAAGTACAGTTCTTTAGTTTCCCATCCTAAATATTTAAGTTCTCTGGCATGAATTATCTGAAATCATAAACTAAACAATTACATAAACCTAACTTTTAACTGAAGATTGTGCAAAGTTTCAAAAACCCATTCAGATACCAGATTGTTACAATAAAACATCATCCTGTAGACTCACATTCAGCCAAGGTCATTCCCAAGAAACAATCTATAATATCAACACATTATTGCATTCAATGTCCCCCTATTTCCCCCTTTTTAACTAGACAGAGATGGAGTATTCCTTACAGTGCAGGGAAGGAAGGAGGAAGTCCCCCAAAGCAAAAGGGCTTCGCCAGCTGCTGGGAGTCCCTCAGTCCCTCCTCCCACTTACAGGATTAGTTCCTCTGGTTTTGTCTCACCCCAGGCACCATGCATGCTCCATATCTCCCAACTTTCAGTAGTAGGCTTCCCCAAGAAAGTGAAGTGGGGGCTCTAGGATGTCAAAATTTGTAAAAAAGTAAAAGGGGCACAGGGCGAGCCTCGAGATGGCCCGCTGGGCTCCCAGCTGGGCTCCCTCTCGCAAACTTCTCCCTCCTCCTTCCCCTCAGCCATACAGGGAAGCAGGAGAAGCATCAACCAGGGAGTGTGAGATTGCCCCATCTTTCCGGGGATACCCTTAGCTCAGTACTCACTAGGCTTGGCTCCTTGACACTTTCTTGGTGTCCCTGTTCTGAGTCCGTGTTTGGCGTCCCTGTTCCGGGCGCCAGATGTCAGGGTTTTTAGACCCAGTCTCCTCCTGACCAGTGGGAGAAGCAGGAAAAGCACAAACCAACCAAGATGAGCCAAGAGAGGAAAGGTCCACTGGCCGCCCACACCCAGCCCTCCCTCCTGGGAGGACAATCAGATGTGCCAGGGAGAACAATCAAAACAGGATCTCCTTTAATGAGGAAGTACACACAGCTTATATACTGCACAGGAGCCAATCAGGATAAAGGTCAGAGGGGTGGAGCATGTTCACGGGTACACCCACCCCATAGTCTATAAGGGAAGGCACAAGCTGTCCACAAGGGTGGAAGAGTCCTAGACCTATCCTGAGGTGGTCTGCCTCCTCCATCATTGCCCACAGCACTGCCTCCTGGCTGATCCCCAGGAGCCATCCCAGTCACATGTGTGGCCTCAAGACCAGGAAGCAGGCAGCCACGCCCTATATTTTAGGACTGTCAGCAAAAGAGTCTCTGCAAAAGAGTTCAATGTAAACTTCCTATTTTCCTGTGGCCCTGTTTAATTGGCCATTGGCCAAGAAGATACCAGCACTCCAGATGCTGGACACCCCCTCACTAGTTTTTCACAAACATGTATCCAGTAGAGTACTTTGAAGAAATGTGCAAACAAGGCCTCTGGGCTTCACAGAGATGTTTACATTTTTAAGATAAGTTACAAATGGGCTCCATGGTAACAGCTGGCAGGGGAGGAAGGAGAGGGGAGAAGAAGCTCCCCCCTTCTCAGTCAAGTGTTGTCCTTGAAGGGTTAACTTTCCCAGAACAGTGAAAGTAAAAGCTGCTTTTATGTGAACTTCTGCAGACTGTGAACTTCTGAGCCCCTCCCCTTACATGCTGGGTATAAAACTCTGAAACTCCCTGAACTCGGGGTTCAGGGGATTGATTGGTTATAGCAAAGGCTGTACCCCCTCAACCTGGCTGCAGCCAAATAAAACTGTGTCCTGCTGTCTTCTGTGCCCTGCCTCATTTGTCCCTACTACAAAAGGGCCCTGAAGGAATTAACATTTCAATCCCTCAGGGGACAGTCTCCAACTTCCCAGAGTCAAAGTTGGCCGCCTGGATCCGACCTGACTGGATGTACCTCTCTATACTGACTGCCTGTCAGATTCTGGCTTCACTCCGACCCCACTGGAAGAAAGGGACACTTTTGGAATTTATTTGCCTTTGTGCGGATGTTGGTCCTACACAATTACAAGGTTTTATGCTCACCGCGGCTTTAAAACAGGTACTTCAGCCCAATCCTGGAGATGCCATTCTCGTGGGCGGTGTTTTAATCATGGCAGGACTGGGCATTTGGCGCAGGACTGCGAATCTCTGCGCCATTGGGCAGAAACCTCTCCTGGTTCCCGCTGGCGGCTGAAAGTCTCAGGGCGAGGGGGGGATGGGAACAGATATGGCAGCGGCTGGCCGGCATTTCTAAATTCACATCCGCCTCCTTTGGGGCCAAAAAATGGAGGGCAGGGTCTACCCCAGGCGCAACAAACAGTGGGGGCTCTGAGGTATGGGCGGGAGGAGGAGTCAGCGTCGCAGGCCTGACGTCATCACAGCCAGCCGTGGTGAAGCGTCCTTATTACCAGCCAGCTCCACCTAGACGGTACTTTTATGACCAGCCGTGGTAATAAACAGCTGAAATGGGACCACAGCGAGTTCCCACTGGAATACATGGGCCATTACCCCCAGGTAGCATAGGCCTAATTTCGGGACGAAATAGTTTTAAAAAGGGAATTCAAGTAATGCCTGGAGTTATCGATTCAGATTTTAGAGAAGAGCTAACAGTCACTGTGAAATCAGAGCATGCCATTCGGCTCTCTACAAAAGCCGCGCTGGCACAATCAGTACTTTCACCTTGCGGTTCCCTAGACAGCCAGCTTAAGACCTCAACATCCAGGCTCCAGTGACAGGGTGTACTGGGCTCAGTTAATTCGGCAGGAGCGCCCCCTACTGGAACTTAAAATCAATCATAAAAAATTTCAAAGTATCATAAATACTGGGGCAAATAAATCTGTTTTATCTCACCGATTTTGGCCCCAATGCTGGCCTTTACATATTGCACCTGCCAATTTTGAAGACATAGGGCAGATTTCTCAGCCTGCCCAGAGTGCCCAGTATCTTCGCTGGGAAGACTGAGATGGTAATACTGGAATTTTCAAGCCTTATGTTTTGGACACATTAGCAGTAAATTTATGGGGCAGAGATATTTTAAGCATCTTAGGATTATTATTAGTAACCCCAGATTCTATCAGTTGGTTTGAGGAACTTAATCAAGGATTGATCCTAAGGAAACTGAGGGAAACTTACAGGGTGAGTACCTACTTATGACCCAATCTCCTTGACAGAGATTATTTAATGCACCCAACCAAAATTTTTCATGGGGGCCCTGACCTTTTCCCTGACCCCTAAAACAGCAAAAATATTAATTGACTCACAGAAGAGCCAATCTGGGTAAGTCAGTGGCCCCTAACAGGGGAAAAAATTAAAATAGCCCACGTGTTAGTTGAGGAACAGCTTCAAGCTGGTCATTCAGAGCCTAAGCTCAGCCTTGGAACACACCCATCTTTGTAATTAAGAAAAAATCTGGTAATTGGAGATTGTTACAGGACCTTAGAGCTATTAATCGGGTCATAGAGCTCATGGGAGCATTACAATCTGGGCTTCCTTCTCCCACAGCTATCCCTTTAAATTATAATTTGATAGTAGTAGATCTAAAAGATTGTTTTTTCTCTATACTTTTGCACCCAGATAACTGTAAAAGTTTGCCTTTAGTGTCCCAGCTATTTATTTTAAAGAACCAGTTAAAAGATATTGCTGGAAAGTGCTGCCTCAGGGAATGCTTTACAGTCCTACCCTGCGTCAGAATTTGTGGCACAAGCTATCACGCCTGTGAGGGAAAAATTCCCTGATGCATATATTATTCATTGTATGGATGACATACTTTTAGCTCATGCTAATTCAGATGTACTTTTAAAAAGTTTTTCCCAATTAGAGACTTCACTCACAGCAATAGGTTTGTGCATTGCAACTTAAAAGTTGCAAAAGACATCTCCTTTTCAATATCTAGATCATGTGATCGAAGGACATACAATCTGTTCTCAAAACTTACAAATAATAGTCAAGGAGCAGCACACCCTTAATGATTTTCAAAAGGTTTTAGGAGATATTAATTGGCTGAGGCCATCTATAAAGCTAACTACTTCAGATTTGAGTCCTTTGTTCCAGATTTTACAGGGAGATCCTTCTTCAACTTCTTCTCATCAGCTCACAGCAGAAGCAAGAACAGCTTTGAGGAAAGTTGAAATTGCTATTAAAAATGCTCAGTTTACTAGAATTAACCCACAAGAGCCTATATATTTATTGATATTTTCAACTGCTCACGCTCCTACAGGGGTGATACGGCAAACATTGGGAGTTATTGAGTGAATTCATTTAGCCCACTCTGCTCAAAAGTCATTAACTCCTTATCATGAGTTTGTTGCTGAATTAGTGATAAGGAGCAAAACAAGAGTTTTACAGCTCATTGGATCAGAACCTAATATTGTAATCATTCCATTCAACAGAATAATTGGCTGTTTCAAAATTCCAATTCTTGGCAAGTAGCTTTTGCTAATTTTCCTGGTCAGATAAAGAGTCATTATCCTCGTGATAAAATTATTCAATTCGCATTGGTAAAGCCATTCATATTTCCAAAGATTTTATGTGCAAAACCAATATGGCACACTAACAGTATTGATTGATAGCTCAAGCTCAGGTAAAGCAGGTTTTTAATAGTCATGCTCATACAGAGATAATACAAACCTCATATGCTTCTGCCCAAGGAGAAGAACAATAAGCTCTCATTTGTGCTTTAAGTTATTTTACAAATGAGTCCATCAATATTTATTCTGACAGCTTATGTGCAGTTGGAGTTAAAAAATATTGAAACTTGGATATTTCAGTTATTGGATATACATCATCACAAGAGTTATTCAGTTTGTTTCATATCCTACAAAGGTTGGTGCAAATGTGAAAGCACCCATATTTCATAGGTCACATATGGGCTCACACTAATCTTCTAGGGCCTCTAAATTCAGGTAATAAAAATTAATAAATTGGTTGCTCTTTGTAAGCAAATGTCTTTGTATGACTGTGCACAAGGTTCACATTCTTTATATCATCAAAATTCTTCTAGCCTACATAAAAATCTTAATATGACTAGAGAGCAACCTTGTCAATTGTATGTCACTGCCCCCCCTGTGTTAGACACACTCCATCTTTACCATCTGGTGTAAATCCCTGTAGATTAAAACCAAATCAATTATGGCAAATGATGTAACTCACATTCCTCAATTTGGTAAGCAATGTTATGTACATGTAATTGTAGATACATATTCTAGGTTTATCTTTGCTATAGACCATGCAAAAGAAAATACTCAACATGTTATTTCTCATTGTTTAGCTGCCTTTGCAGTATTAGGAAGTCCTTTACAGATTAATACTGATAATGCACCAGCTTATGTTAGCTCTACTTTTCAACAATTTTGCCAAGAGTTTCATATTGACCATAAAACAGGTATTCCTTATTACCCCCAAGGTCAAGCCATTGTGGAACGGGCTTATTTATCTATTAAGCTACAATTACAAAAACTAAAAGGGGGAAATAGGACTAGGACTCCCCAAATAACCTCTGTCATGCTCTTTATTTTAAATTTTTAAAATTGTGACTCAGAAGTTCACATTGCAGTCGAGCGACACATGTCTTCCACAGCGACAGGCCCTTTAGGCCGAGTTTGGTGGAAGGACTTACAGACTGGTCCATGGAGAGGACCAGATCCAGTGATTATGTGGGGCAGAGGTCATGCTTGGATTTTCCCAGAAGGTGCTTTTCATCCTATTTGGGTACCTGAACGTGCCATCAGGCATGGAGGAAATCGAACCAAGATTCAAATGACTGAAGATTGACCTAGAGAAGCCTTCCCTCAAAAAGAAGAATTCTCGAAGTAACTAACTGTGTCACCAGATATAATAGAGGAAAAGGAATGCTGATACGTCATCAGCTCTCTTTTGTCTTATTGCCAGCTAATATTTCAGAGCCATGGTATGCTGATGCTGGTTTTCAAGTTTTACAATAATTACACACCAGCTAGCGAGACCTACATGTGTTGTAGTGGGAGTTGTTGCCTTAGTTTCCTTTATTGATTCAATGGTCACAGTTTCGGTGGCCACATCTCAAAATATTCAACATGCAAATTTTCTTAATAATTTGGCTCAGAATTCTTCCAAGGCTCTTCATAACCAAATAAATATTGATGAAAGGATTGAGACTAAGCTAAATGCCTTAGAGGCTACTGTTGTAAATATTGGTAATGAACTTTCAGCTTTGAAATTCAAGGAAAGACTTAACTGTTGCACTAGCTATAGGTATGTGTGTGTTACTGCTGCCAAATACAATGCTTCCCAATGGGATTGGGAAAAGGTTAAAAACCATTTATTGGGTATTCAGCAAAATAATAATAACACCTTGGATTTTTTTGGAGCTCCATTATCATATTCAAGATATACAAAAAAAGTAAGATTGATTTTTCAGATCCTACTTCTTTAGCTGATCAAATACATACATAATTGAATGACCTCAACCCTGGAAACATTCTTAAACATTCTACATGGTATATCCTTGTATTGTTCTCTTTGCTACTAATTCTCTCTTGTAATTGTAGCATGGCGAGCCTTCAAAACAAGGATTCTGGGACTCGAAATAGTGACTCATCACCTGCTTTTCAAAGAAAGAAAAGGGAATATGTGGGGAGCCACTCTGAATGATTTGTGTTTCCCTCCCAGGGCGGAGAGGCTTTGATGGTCACTACATCTCATAGTGACTTGGACATTGCCCTGGTCCTAGAAGTTTGAGGACATGTCTTCAGATGTAGGTGTCTGTGGGAAGCCATTCTA